TCGAGGAGAATCATGATGGACGGACGTGTGCAGTGAGGGTAGCTCGGGTGGACACACACGCGCAGCAGCATGATACATCGTAGTAATTCGGGATGACTGAGATTAAAGCGAAGAGATGAAAGAAGTTGAAAGGGAGCGACGGAGCAGCAAAATGGAAAATTCACTTAAGTGGTGATAAAGCTAAAAAGTAGCCAGCACAGGCCTTGAGCAGGCGCGCACACCTTGCATATCCAGAAGGTCGCCTGCCGCGAAAAAATTCAATTACCGGCGGCATTCGCAGCGAAACGAAGCAATCAGAGCGCAGCTGAATAATAATCGAGCAATTTTTTTTGAAAAGTTTGTTTAGCCCTCACTGCACCAGCACTATAGCTCTTTATGTCAAATATTGATGGGCTCGCAAAGAGGAAAAGACGAGCATGACTGAGGGACAGGCGAGGAAATGCTACTACTTTCTTACCATCGAGAAGTTTTAAGATTTCGATGGCCACACAGGTCTGAACGAGTCAACAGAGCGGAAACTAAAAGCATCTCAAAAGAACAAACAAATAGCATTTTTCCGTGTTGGCAGCGCATTCAACCCCAAAGCAAGGCTAAAAACAGTTTGGAGGCCAGGATGAATAAACGGCCATCCTCTCGGTGACTGATACATTCGCTTTTCATCCACTGGAGAAACTGTCAGTTTGGTCAAATTAATGCCTCTCTGGTAGGCTAATTCTGCTTTTGCAACTGCTTTCTCTCCCGCTCTCCTCAAGCAACCAGCATCCTCGAGCAATGAGTACTTTTTGCAGCCCAAGGTATACTAAATTCTACAATCTTTGGCAAATTTTTGTTCTTGTATGATACGTGTTGTAGATGAGAAACAACGCGCTGAAATAAGTTTCAGAAATTTGGCGGCTAGTTTACAAGCACAAAATTTACAGGTGGCAGGAAAGTGGCAAAGAGATACCGCATCCATAACAAATTCAAAGAAGCAAACGAAGAAATCTTTAGGTGTACGGTAATCGCCGAAAGAAAACATGCAAGTAAAAGAATAGGTGTGAGCTGGCCCTTCAGAACTTTTTTAAAATTTCATTTCTCTTAT